CCAGGTCGATCTGGTGATTGAGAACGGCCTCCTGGTGTTAAAGCTGCAGGCAGACCCACGCTGTGTGGTCTTCTCTGGTTCTGTTGGGTCTGGTGGTGGGAGCAGGACCCAGTCACCCACGGCGGGTGAAAACTACAACAGCAGCGTTTGTGTGACCGGCGAGCGTTCGTTGGCGCAGCGCTGCGACACGTGGAGCCGTTAGGAAAAAGTCAGACCTGCTCATTCAGAGAGCCGCTGCTGAGTAAACCAGGTGTTTTCTTTAAAGACCACCTGAAGAGCCGCGGAGGGAAACCAGGCTGCAGGTAGATGGATCCCACTCCGGGTTTGTGGTTGGAGCGGGTTGGTCCTGTTCCCGTCCCTGCTGGTGCTGCACCTGCACTCATTCACTCATTCATTCATTCATTCATTCATAATCTCACAAATAAATCTAACCTCAAATCAGCAACGTTCATGCTGACTTCAGACTTTCTACGTTTAGATTTTGTTCCTCTGTTGTTTTTGTTTTGCTGGTAGGAAAAACGTGGGAATTCTTTTGGGAGACATTGATCCAGGTGGTCTTTCACTGCTTTGGAAGTGTCCCAGGTGAGGTTTCAGGTGCAGACAGGGACACTTTGTTCACACCTCAGCGTTTGTGCTCTGCTGCTTCAGCGGCCACCCAGAGACTCGACGGGCCTCGGAAAAACCTTCTTTCATGAAACCAGACCTGCTCAACGGTGCAATAAGTTTATGTCAAAATGGAATCCTTCCAGCATCGGAGTGAGTTTCCGAAGACGGCCGTGCCGACGCAGCTGTCCCGGGATAAAAACTGCCCTTCACCGGAGTTTTCTCCATCAGAGCTGACGGGATTCACACCAACATTCCAACCATTCTGAAGGGTTTCCATTTGTAAAACCAGATTTTAATCCAGCTCACTGAACAGCCTCAGTTCAGAGAAATGCATCATTCAGGATCGATAAGCTAAGGGCCTTTTTGAGTCAGGATAAGGGTGTGTGGCGGCCATCTTTAAACAGCTGCTCATGAGAGCGTGTAACTGTTGTGTTTCACGCCAAATTCTGTAGTTTTAATGTTGAGTTTTTGGAGTTATTCAAACGGAATTCTGTGGTTATTTACATGGAATTCTGTAGTTACAAGAGCCTAAGTCACGCCCACCTACTTCCGGACCACGGGTCCCCGGAAGAACGAAAACACGAATGCAAGTCAACGGGGGGCAGCGGTGGTTCAACAGGCAGAGCGGGTTGTCCAGTAATCGGAAGGTTGCGGGTTCGATCCCGGCTCCGGACAGAGAATTCTGCTGTTGTGTTCTTGGGCAAGACACGTAACCCCCCTTGCCTGCTGGTGGTGGTCGGAGGGACCGGTGGCACCTGTGCTCGTCGGCCTCGCCTCTGTCAGAGCGCTCCAGGGCAGCTGTGGCTACCTCGTAGCTCATCTCCACCAGTGTGTGAATGGATGAATGATACACTTTGGAGTCCTTACTCTGAGAGGCGCTGTACAAGTGCAGGTCATCTGCTTGTTCTGTGCTGTGGATTTGACACGAGAACGTTAAAGAACCCGGGGGAAACGCTATAAAGCGTTCCCATTGAGCGTCAAAAGGGAATTCCAGAGGAAACCTGGAGGACAGTTTTTCCTGTTTTTGGCTCGGTCTGTAAAATTCGCTGAAACCAAACATGAAACCCGTCTCTTCTGGGTCCCATGTGTTCCTTTCATTAATGCCCGACTCTAACATCCCGCTAAACAACCACCCAAATAAAGTTTTTAGACCGAGACGTTCATAAAGCGTGTCTGACAGGAACAGGAATGTGTGGAGCAGAACTCGGGAAGTTTACTGGAGTTTCTGGTCTGTTGGGAATCTGTGTTTGTTTGATGGAAGGTCGTAAACTGTTTAACGGTTTTCTGCTCGTGTTGCTTTTTACTCCTGCAGCTTCAAGCGTCTGTAGCATTAAATGGATTCGGATCAAATCCCGATTCCTCACTTTTTCCTGCGTTTATAAACTTTTCCTCCTCTTCGTTATCAGCAGAGGTTTAACGCCGTGGCCCTGCAGTCCGACCTGCTTGGGAATTTTCCAGTAACGCGTAATTGGAAAACGTCAAACGTCTGGATAAACACGAGCAGAACAGAACCGTTTCCGTGTGAGACGTTAGGAGATTTATCCGGTCCGTTAACCCAAAACTAAACATCAGAGCCACATGTACGGAGGCGGAGTAGAAGCTTTTATTTTGAAAGTTTGGCCCAACAAATGAAAAAGTTCGTTAAACGTGGTCGTTGATGAAGCAGCGGTTGAGTTGCTGATGTTCAGCCAATCACAAACCAGCCCGTTAACTTCCCGTTGCTAGGTGGATATTATGGGATGTACAGGAGATGCACCTCCACCTTCAGCCGGAGTCGGAATCATCAGGGAGACGGGATCCAGAGTGGGTGACAGTGATGAACGAGTCAGGATCAGCGTCACCCAAACGTGCAGGCGTGTTCTCGTCTCACCACACGCTTTATTGGGGGGTCTGGACCCCCCACGTGCCATGAAAGTGGGCCGTATCTGTGTTGCATTAACACACACACACACACACACACACACTTTTAATTTTCTCACTGTGCTGGCGAGCGTGTCGGGCTGCCATCTCCCTGCGGTGACGCCGTCTTTAATGTTTTTACACGAGCAGCGAGCCGCTCTGTCTGCAGTTTGGAGATCCAGATTGGGTCTAATACCGGAATTAAGACTGTGGTGACGTTCCCATCGGGAAAGGCTGAGTAACGCTCCAGACGTCGCGCAGAAAGTCCCGAGTCGGCCCGGTTTATTATGTTCAGTCGCTGTGATTGTTCTGTGGCGGGTCAGAACCTCAGCCCGAGTGAAAACCCAACAAGCTCTCATCTTTGGCTCGTGTCCGGGAAGAATTTAGAGTCAATTAGTTTGGAATGTTTTCCAAGTCGACGATCCAGATTGATCTAATCAGCCGAACTTCCCACAAATGTTAACCAGACATCGACATGCACCAGACACCATTACAGCGTCTTTCATTTGGCGGGATCAAGTCTAGGAGGTGGGAACGTTGAGCTGAATCCATCACGCTCGTCACTTGTACCTCCCGTCAGGATGCACACACTCATCCGAAGTGTGAGTGACCTTCCAGAAGGAGAAGCTTTTTTATTCCCTGCTGATTTCTGTCCCAGCTGCTGCTCCACGGAGACTTTTGGCTCCCAGATGAGCTGATCGGGAATACATTTTTAGTGCCTTAAAATCGGATTGATCCGAAAGCAACTGATGCATTTTTTACAGAATTCCTAAGTGTGCCGGTTTCATTCCCAGTTTAAACTCTTGATTACATTCAGTATTAGGGCTGCAACAAACGATTATTTGGATAATCGATTAATCGGATGGGGTCTCGACACGATTAATCGATTAATCGGATTACATGGGGAAATTTTTAAAAACTGCTAGGGAAACGTTATTTCTCTCCTTCCTTCACTTTATTTAACACAACATTATTAGAAATCAGTTCAATAGCAGAAAAACAACATGCCATCACCTAAATTGTCTTATAAGGTGTATAGACAGAGACCCTAAGCTACATCTATCTGTGACCTAAAATGCTTGGTCCAAGTTAAACAGCTTAAGGGCAATTCTCATGTGTTTTGTTTGATCTCATCTGTTGACATTTATTTTAAATGTAATTAAACATAGGCTGTGAATTAATCAAAATTGATCACTATTTCCAAAAATGACTGAAAAAATACCAAATAAAGCAAAAGCAAATGAATGCCATCCTCCTTGTGATGATGCCCTGGGCAACTGCCATAAAGTCACATCAAGAAATGCTGCTGATCATTCCAATGATCCCAAATAGACTCACATTAGGCCACATGAAAGCAACTGAACCCAAAAATATATTAACCAGTATATAACTGCACTCTCACACAACACGCCTGCAGCAACAGTTAGGACTCCTCCCTCCCTTTTAAAAGCGTTTTTGCTTCTGAGGACATTGTGGTTGTAAAACCACATGCTAGTAGTCTGGCCCCGGTGTGATCAACCAGTTTCTGCGGGAATGTGACGGCGGAACCAGGGCCAGATTAACACTTTGTTGTACCCTGGGCAACAATATTCAAGGGCTCCATCATCACGACCCAAGGATCACCATAATGTGGTCACATACAGAATATTTTACTGTAATATGCAGTAAATATACTCAATACTTGAATGCCTGACAACACGTAACCCGCCCAGAGTAACCTTTGACCCACCTCGTGTGGACTGACCAATGAGGAGAGGGTCTTAACTTGAGGCCCTCTCTTCATTGGTCAGTCTGCATGAGACTGACTCTCAACTGACGTTCAGTCGTAGGCAGCGAAGCGTCTCTGTGCAGCGCAAAATCCCGGGTGGACAGTTTGTTTAATGTAGGGTGATCATATTTCCATTTCCAAACAAGAGGACAGGGGTCTGTGCCTATGACATCACACTATGGCAACGCCACACAAACCATGTTGGGACCCATTTTTTGTAAGAACTAAATTAATATCAGATTCTGCCAATAAAAGGGCTCTAAAACAATTCATATGTAAATATTTTGCATATTTAATGCAAAATCTAATTTTTCTGCTTTAGTGCTGCAACAAGGTTTTATTAATAATAAATTATTATACCTTTTGTTTTACTACAGCATCGGTAAGCTTCCTGTGCACAGATTATTAAGGATGCTTGTTTCAGCTGTGAGATTAGACGATAGGATCAATGAATAAATAAGTTGTCACACACTCCATGGAAACTTTCAGAGAATCCACAAATGGTGGCTTTCAAATGGTTTTGTTACTTTTAGCAAGTTTAGAAAAGCAGCAGATGAGACAGCATGTCTGATAATTTAGTTTTTCATCTGATAATATTAGAACATGTCAGTAATGTCTGAGGGGCTTTTATAAACACTGTATAACTAACACTACTGGAGAGGGCATGGATTACACAGAGGCTTCTGGGGAGCCCAGTTATGGGGGGGGGGGGGGGGGGGGCATTTTGCTTTGGCCCCCAAAATGTCTTGAAACGGCCCTGGGTGTGTGACTGAGTGTTGAAGGTGATCTGAATTGTATCAGATGTATAAATATAACATTTGTATAACTTATTGTTTTTTACTGGTAAAAACGTGTCGTGGAGATAAATCTACCTACATTTGACTTTTCAACACTTTGTTTTGTTTTCTTGTTTTTATTGAACTATTTTCCTGTCCTGTCTGTCTCTCATCTTCCTGCATCTCCTCTTAATTCTCCAGAAAATCTGTTGCCTGGATTCTTACTTTTTCACCTCATCAGTTTCTTTTGAGCAGATCAAAGGGATCTCCTGACCGCACAGCGGAGAGCGCGTTTTCGATGCTGCGTGAGGTGACATCACCACAGCACAGGTGATGAGCTCCGCAGTAGCGAGCTTCAGGCACAAATAAGACAGAAAATAGAGAACATGTACGGACATGAACGATCGTGTGCTAATTATAGTTTTTTGGTTGAACCACTTTGAGAATGGACCGTGCGCTGGAAGCAGCTGCCTGGATCGCTGCACAACAATGCCGAACCGGTTCGCAGCAGCGCAAGTCTGCCGGCTCTCCCTCGCGCTGATCTGTCGGCTCTCCCTCGCGCTGATCTGCCGGCTCTCCCTCGCGCTGATCTGCCGGCTCTCCCTCGCGCTGATCTGCCGGCTCTCCCTCGCGCTGATCTGACTTGCTCTGGTCTGCGCGCAATGGCGGGCGGGAAGGGGGGGCGCTTTTGGAAGAGTTGTGCGACACAACGAATCGATGACGCAATTCGTTGCCAACGCTTTTAGTAATCGATTTTCATCGAATTTATCGATTCGTTGTTGCAGCCCTATTCAGTATCCAGTTCCTGTCGACACCTTTAAAGAAACCCTCTGAACCCAATCCGGACTGGAATGCCCCGGTTCTGGTTTTAGTGTCAGAAGTGAGAAAGCCCCACCCACTTTGCGGTTACCATGGTGACCCTGATAAGCCACTGTCACAGCTGTAACGTTTCTGTTCATCTTGGTTGTCGTCGTTCCTCCTTTACCGTTTAAACCTGTGATTTTTTCTCTCTAATCTTAGATTATGACAGAAGTAAATCCCGGATTACAGCTGGGATTTACAGAAGAGAGCTGATGTCTTTAAAATAGCTTCATAAATGTTCCTGGTGTGTGTGAGTGAAGCAGGAAGGAAAAACTCCAGAAAGAACACGAGTCGAATCCTGGAATCTGACTTAATCAGGATCAGATATCCCGGCTGATCCGGGCCTTTGGCTCCAGACGGGAATAAAACTCTGCTGTAGCTTGGAGGGTGATTACGATAGCGTTGCAGATTGTTTTAAAGGAAAAGTGTTGTTTCATCCTGCTGGCCTCCAGGTCTTCGGCGTTCCTAATCAGCAGCGGAGCCTCTTTGTCTGTCGGGAAACGTGCTAAAAGGAAAACGGCCTCGCTGGAAAAGGAGAGGATGACATGTGATTGGCAGCGAGCTCCGGAGTGATTCATCCTGCAGATTTATAGAACTATTCTGAGCTGTGGTGACACGTGCACGCGTGTGGTTTTGTGCACAACTGTCCGCGCTGGTGTTCACATGGATCAGTCCCATATCTGAAGTCACTGAGCGAGCGGCGCTGGCCCGGCTGCCGTGGCTAAATGTGTACGTTGGAGAAAAATGAAAGTCGTCTGTGAAAACCACACAGAAGCAGGATTTAGGATTTAAACGCAGATTTTTCTTCCCTCAAGTGAAACCAGATTATTCCAGCTGCTCCTCGGCCGCTCTGGTTCCTGAAGTTTAACACGAGTTCTATTAATCCCTCTTTTGGGTCCGTTTTTAACAACCCTGAGGTCGTTTGGTGTTCCGGCTGACCCGCTGGATCCGTTCATCAGCGCAGCGACTGGAGATGTCTGGCTCGCTCTGCAGGGCATCAGCCTGGCTCACTTCCTGTAGACACACGGTGTGTGTGCGGGTGTGTGTGCACGCGGGTGTGTGTGTGTGTGTGTGTGTGTGTGTGTGTGTGTGTGTGTGTGGGCGTTTGTGTGTGGGTGTGTGTGTGGGCGTTTGTGTGTGTGCACGTGGGTGTGGGCGTGTGTGTTTGTGTGAGTGGGTGTGTGTGTGTGTGTGTGTGGGTGTGTGTGTGGGCGTTTGTGTGGGCGTTTGTGTGTGTGCACGTGGGTGTGGGCGTGTGTGTTTGTGTGAGTGGGTGTGTGTGCGCGCGTGGTGTGAGTGTGTGGGTGCGCGTGGGTGTGTGTGTTTGTGTGTGCGTGGGTGTGGGCGTGTGTGTTTCTGTGAGTGGGTGTGTGAGTGGGTGTGCGCGCGCGCATGGATGTGAGTGTGTGGGTGTGTGTGTGTGTGCGTGGGTGTGTGTGCGCGTGGGTGTGGGCGTGTGTGTTTGTGTGAGTGGGTGTGTGTGTGCGCGCGCATGGATGTGAGTGTGTGGGTGTGTGCGTGGGTGTGTGTGTGCGCGCGCGCATGGATGTGAGTGTGTGGGTGTGTGTGTGTGTGCGTGGGTGTGGGCATTTGTGTGTGTGTGTGTGTGTGTGTGCGCGTGGGTGTGGGCGTGAGTGTGTGTGTGTGGGTGTGTGCGCGTGGGTGTGGGCGTGAGTGTGTGTGTGTGTGTGTGCGTGCGTGGGTGTGGGCGTGTGTGTTTGTGTGAGTGGGTGTGTGTGTGTGCGCGCGCATGGATGTGAGTGTGTGGGTGTGTGCGCGTGTGGGCGTGTGTGAGTGTGTGTGTGCACACGTGGGTGTGAGTGTGTGTGCACGTGGGTGTGTGTGTGTGTGTGTGTGTGTGTGTGTGTGTACACGTGTCTCTGTCTAACTCTTAAACTCGTCCACTCGCCTCCGGGCAGCGGGGGGGGCTCAGATGCGGCCCGGAGCTCGTTAGAGCCCAGCGCTCTGCAGGGTTGTGATTTTCTGGAAGGGAAGCGTGTTCAGGCGTGTTCCTGAGCGCGTGTACATGCATGTGTGTGTTCCTTCGGTCTGGGTTCAGGCGCTGCAGATTAGGAGCCACGGGCCTGAACTGTGAGGTCATCGCTGGTGTGATCGTTTAACTCGCTGCTCTAATGAAGTTAGCTTAAGATGCAGAAGTCAGACCAGCTGTTTGTTAGAAGCTGCAGTGTTGTATGACCAAACTGATCCTGGACCAGCCTCGTCTCAGTTCTAGCCGCCTCGAGGAGTTCGGACTGATCCAGGACAGGTTCCTGAGGTTCTGGGTTCAGGTGTTCTTACCGTCTCAGGTGTGATTCAGGATGCAGCGGCGTTTGTGTGAGTGGCGTGAGCTGCTTCTCGTTCACCTGTGTTTAACGTGTGGCTCTGCAGGAGAGTCCGAGTCTCTTATGACTGAATAAGTAGAGTTGCTGTAGGAGTCCTGACGCCAGCAGGACGTTGTTCTGTTTGGATCATCTGGTCCATTTAGTGTCTGCAGAGCCTGAAGAACCAGAATCAGGTTCAACCTTCTGCTCGATTGCCTCGTTTATAATAATAATAATCATCCAACTTATGCAGCGCTTTATTAGGACACTCTTGTGTGAGCTCTTACATTCACACACTGCCAGTGATGGTTAGCTGCTACGTAGCCACAGCCGCCCTGGGGCGAGGCTGCCTGTTGGCGCCGTCGGCCCCTCTGACCGCCACCGGCGAGTCTCGCCTGGCAGGGATGGTTGAAGCGTCCCTCTACGGTAACTTTGTTCCTCCGGACGACGCTCGGAAACACCTGTCCCAAATGCTGGAGTTGTTGGTTTGGATCTTATGCAGACGGCAGGAATACGGTCACAGAACCTGGATCTGAGCTCAGAGGCGGAGCCGGACCACAGCAGGACCCGGATTCCGTTCTAATCCTGAGATCGGCTTTAAGCTCTTCTGGTGTTTTAGTTTAGTTTTTCTGTTTCTTCCTTCCGTCAGGTTTAAGCTCCACCCCCTGCTCATCCGTCCGGCTTCATGGAACCGGAGCGTTTTACTCTCTCCTCTCTTTCCCTTCCATCTCTGCTGGATTCTGTTCCCTCTTCGCTGGAGTCCCTCCTCGTCCCGGCTCCTTATCCGACTCCTCCCTGCCGTTGAGCCTCTGGCTCCTCGGATCTGAACTCCATCCTCTGAGGGTAATTATGAGCTCAGCTAAGTGAGGAGCAGATCACTCATAAACACCAGTTTGAGGCTCAGAGGGATGGTTACCAGTACAGGTAAACACCGGAACCAGTTAGGTGATGATGGTTAATGGCTGATTTTAGGAGTTGTGGGATTTTTGGACCATTAATTGTCTCCAGTTGAATGTTTGTTTGTTCTTTTGTCAGAAACGGGACTTTTCTCCTGGTCTGGTTCTGCTCACGCCCCGGGGAGATTCCCCTTTTCCTGCCCTGTACCCGCTCACTTCCTGCTTTTCTGCGTTGTCCTGATTCCATCCCTGATAGTCCTGGTCCAGATTTCAGCAGGCAACACACACACATCCCGACCTTTCCAGGGACTAAATTTAGCTCCACCAAAGAATAGGAGGAAGGGAGGAGAGCAGACGGATAGATGGATGGATGGAATGCTACTGCGGGATTTTGGGTTCAGGCTGGTCGGACAATAACCCGATGATGGCTATCGGGAGCTGTGGGCCGCGTTCCAGCTCTGGTGACGTCGGACCTGCAGACGGTGTGTTTCTGTTGGAAGGAGGACGCAGGTGTCTCCAGACTGCAGGCTGAAGGGAAATGAGCTGCTGCTAAAAATAGTCGGGAGCCAGGAACGCCGTGTTTCACCTCTGCCTGACTCGGTCCCGTCTGGAGTTCACGTTCTCCGTGGACGTCTCGTCCCCGTCCACCACGGACGATCGCCCGGCGTCAGCATCTTTTATGGCTGTGAGAGGCACGAAACTCGTCACGGTGGATAAAAGCATCGAAGCCTCCTGAAGACCATCCGCTCAGCTTCCTCTCTGTAGGAGAAGCCCGAACTGGAACGGTGGGATGTTTTTACGGACACGACGCTTCTGTTGGTGTTCTGAGCCGTCGTCCAGCACTGGGCGTTACACTGGTATCGGCCCTGAGGGCCAGGATCGGTGTAGATAACCGCAGGGATGGATCACAACAGCTGATCCGCCTGCTTCCAGGACGGGAATAATCAGGATTAATCTCCTAAACCACGTTTGAGTTGGAATCAAACCAACTGTGGGATCAGAACCGGGCTGACTCTGGATCAGCAGTACCAGACCCAAAGTCTGGGTTTTAGGTTGATGACTGAAGCCAACATCTGGTTCTGGGTGCAGGCGGCGCCGCCTCTCTGAGTGGGCCTTCGGTACCGCCCATCACATCCAGAGCTCCGAACCGGTACCGGCGCTCCTCTGCTAACTTTTCTCTGTAGCTGAGTCACATTTCGTCTCGTTCGTCGTGACTCTGCCGTTTATTTTTAGAGCTAAAAGCTTCTGTTGCTAGGAGACGGCTGACTTAGGAGAGGCCGAGCGAAGGAGCGACGGAGTGAAGGGAAAGAGAAAGGCGGTGGAGTTGAAGGGGAGAAGGGAGGAATCTGTGAAAGCTCCACGACAAGCGAAGGAGCGGTGAGTCAGCAGGGACACGTGCAGCACACGCATGATGGCTGCTGGTCACCCACGCATGAACCTGCTTACCTCCACACGCTAACCTGAACATCACCGCGACGCCCGTGTCTGTCTCGCTGTCCAGCTCGTCCCCAGAGACAAGTGTCTCGTTGTCTCATGGCATGCTCATGCCAGATTAATAATCTGCTTTCAGGTGGTTCTTAGCAGCTTTTGTGTCCGTTTGGCTTTCCCTATGAGCTCCAGCAGAGGCCAGACAGCAGCTTGTGGTTTGTTAGTCATCAGGACCGGTTCTGTTTGGGTTTGGGCCCAGACCTTCAGATAAACACGCATCGTTCATTCAAACACGTTAGCAACCGTTAGCTCATGCTGCTTTACTTCCTGTCTGGAGAAGTGTCCGAACCCGGATCACACGACTGAGCAGTCCTCGAGTCGGAACGCAGCTGGAAGTTTAGGGAAAACGTACGGCTGAGGTATTTTTACTGTTACATCTTAAAGAGGCCAGACTGGCTTTGTTCCCATGGTGATTCCCGTTAAATCACCTTCAGCCGTCCGGAAGCGTGAATCTAGCCTCGTCTTTCGTCTCCAGACGGATTCTGTCTTCATGTTAAAGTTCTGGTTCCTGAGTTTGGATTTGGTTAAAGTAAACGTTTTAGATGGTAAAACCTGAGACTGGTGCCACGAATCCAGCTGGTCAAAGCCTCTCACCACTGAGTTACTGGGTTAACTGGTCTGGTTCTCACCAGCATCACACACACACACACACACACACACACACACACACACACACACGTGTGTTTTCTGTCCAAACTCACCATCAAATAAAATGTGTGTTAGAATACACGCAGACTGAGATAAACCCATGAAATCAGCTGGTGACCAGAACCGACCCGCTCTCCGACCTCGGTGCCAGAGTCGTGAATTTAGTTTTAGCGGTCGGTCGGTATCTGCCCTCCGAACGGAATCGGTGTAAAGGTGAAACTGGAAAAACTAGAATAAGGAGCAAAAGTTAATTTCTGTCAGTAATCCGGTCTAAAAGGTGAAGCTAATCTGTGACACACTCATTCCCTGCTAATCCAGAACTGTGTTAAAAAAACACGTTCATCATCTGAGAGAATCCGAATGTGGAGACGAGACTCGGAGCGCCGCACGCTAATCAGCTGATGAAGTCACGACAGCTGAGGAGTCCCGAGCCTTTAGATGGTCTCTCAGTCTGAGCTGGATTACCTTTGCGCTGTAATCTAGTTTTACAGTCGTACCTGTACTTCATGGTGATTTTTTTAACAAGATAAGCAACAAAATACAATCCTTATATTTTATTTATCCAGATAAAGAGCTGAACAGGCTGGAGTTTCTGTGCTCTGATTGGTCGTTCGCTCTGTGACTCATTCCGACTTTTTCACACCTGCCGGTAAACCGTAGGACTCTTCACATCCACAGAGGTATAGTTGTGTATTTTAGTCGTGAGGCGACTCACTCGGGTCGGGTTGTTAGTCCTCGCGTGTCGTCGTGGGATCACAGAGGCTTCAAACACAACGTCCAGCTCTTCATGCAGGTTTTCTCCGGTTTGGTGCTGGTTTCCTAATGGCTGCTACAGCTCGGCCCCGGGCCGACTCGGAGCACGTGCTGGCAGTTCGGTTCTGTCCGATCCTCATCTGGGTTCTTCTTTGTGGGTTTTCCACGGAGTTGTTGGGAGTTTTTATGGAGCTTCCCTATCAAACGTTGATGAGGCCTTAAAGGCTAATAAGCTGGTGTTTGTTACATCAGATGGTGTTTTTCTCCAGACCACAAACGTGCAGTCCTGATTTTACTGATCAGATCGGTGGGTTGCCACGGCGACGCAGCAGCGGTCCGGTCCTGAGCCTGTTGCTGTTAGTGGCTCGCGGTCGTGTGGATATAAATGGCTCTAGTGTGTGGGAACGTTGGTATTTAGTGTTTCTTTACAGCAATTACACACACACACACACACACACACACACACACACACACACACACACACACACACACACACACACACACACACACCAGCATTGTTGTATTGAGCCCATATGTTTCCCAGTGTCAACCCGATTGCCAGTACACATCTGGTCCTAATAAGGTGTGTGTGTGTGTGTGTGTGTGTGTGTGTGTGTGTGTGTGTGTGTGTGTGTGTGTGTGTGTGTGTGTGTGTGTGTGTGTGTGTGTGTGTGTGTGTGCTGATAGTAGTTATCAGGCCATATCTTATATTTAGTCTGCTCGCTTCAAGGCCTGATAATCTGCTATAGCAGTTGTGATTCTGCAGCTCTGACGCTGATAGCAGGGATGGTTTAATATAACTGTTTTCTGTGGGGAAAATCTCGTCTGAAATGGTCATCATGGGCTTCCGTAGAATCTCATAAAACACTGTTAAACATCAAGTGGCCTCTGCTGCCCTTACAGGGGCTTTATGTAGCTGATCTACAGACTTCCAACCTAAATCATCTAAAAATCATCAGATCTCTTCTGTCTGATCCACCATAACACCTCTCTGCCCCCCCCCAGGGTTTGCCTTCCCGGAGTGGGCCTACAAGCCGGAGTCGAGCCCAGGCTCCAGACAGATCCAGCTGTGGCACTTCATCCTGGAGCTGCTGAGGAAACAGGAGTACAACGATGTCATCGCCTGGCAGGGAGACTACGGGGAGTTTGTCATCAAAGACCCCGACGAGGTGGCCCGGCTGTGGGGGGCCCGGAAGTGCAAACCCCAGATGAACTACGACAAGCTCAGTCGGGCCCTGAGGTGAGTCGGTTTCATTCTCACACCTAAAGACTTCTAGGGTCCTGCAGATCTCCTCGTGTGTCCGTTAGTGGGTGTCGGAGTGAGACGGATGTTCTTCCGTGATCCTAAAAGTCCTCCTTCGTCTTTCAGCGGGCTGTTTGTGTCGTTTCTATCTTTAATCAACTTCACCTGACAACCACTTCCTGAGAGTTTCATTAGAATCCTCTCAGGTTCTCAGGAGACGTTTGGCTAGCAGACAGGTGGTGATGAGCCAATCAGAGGGCACTAAACCGCCACCATCTACAACTCATGTCTTCAGTTTCTGCAGTGAGGAAAGAAATCCACCAGTGAAGAATCTGGCTTCGTGTTTGTCTGAAGTTGGACCTGCAGAGCGTAAGCGTCTGACGTTAAACCCACCAGATCAGTGAAGCTGCTCAGGAATCATTTAAACATCAGATATGAACAACATCCTTCAGGAGGTCCAGTCGATGCTTCTAAATGCTCCGAGTCTTTAGTTGAACTCAGGTTGGAGCCCGTAAATGTTCCCGGTTTGTTTCTAACTTTAATGTTTTGGTGTTTTTTCTCTTGTTTGTGAAAACGAAGCGTTTTGTTTCGAGCTGCGTGATAAAAAACTCCCAGGTGACGGCCAGTTTAGAAACGCACCTTCACCCACTGCAGAGCACATGTGGGATGCAGCAGAGTTTTATTTAGATACCAGCGTGTTCTCTCTCACACACACACACACACACACACACACACACACACACACGCACGCGCGCGTATGTGTGTGTTCTGTCAGCACTCCTCCAGCCCATCTGTCTTTTCTTTGAACTTTTTTCTTCCTCAAAAACAAAATCAGTTTGTATTTTTTTAACTTGTTTGTGTTTTCACTGGGGGGGGGGGGGGGTTAACGTGTTAACTATGATTAATCATTTAGACAAAAATAACACATTAATGAAAATTAATGCATTCAAGGGCAGCTTAACCGATTACACTGACGCACACGAGAGCCCCGCTCTGCTAACGGCTACTAGAATGGAAGGATCAGAAGAAAGTAGCTAGCTTGAACTGATGCCGTGTTTGAGAAAATACTTTCGCTTCTCCTTCCTGAAAACCACGGAGGCCGTGACACGGACCTTTTCCTGTTTTGAATCAAAATACAGTTGAAAGGGATTTTTCTCATGAATCTTAAGAGCTTGATTTCCCAGTAATAATAATGTCCGTGTCTATTGGCCTCGCCTCTGTCAGCGCGCCCCAGGGCAGCTGTGGCTACATCGTGGCTCATCACCATCAGTGTGTGTATGTGTGTGTGAATGGATGAATGATGCACTGTCGTGTAAAGAGCTTTGGAGTCCTTACTCTGAGAGGCGCTATACAAGTGCGGGTCATTTATCATTTATTGTTTGATTTTGTACCTCATTATTTGAAACAGGTTTTTTTTAATGCTTTAGGTGCAAATTTTCTTAAACAACTAAAATGTGATTAATCAAGATTAATTAATTAGAAAACCTGATTAATTAGATTAATTATTTTAATCGAGTCCCACCGATAATGCTTTCCACTGATTTAGCTGCTGATTTAATTCATTCTCGGTTCTTTTTCATCTTTTATATTTATTTGTTTGAGCCCCTGAAAAGTAAAAATAAGCATTATGGGCACATTTCCCCAGAGTTTTTTAATCATCATTCTGGTGATTAAAAAACTAAACTTGTGTTGCTTTAGACTCACTTCAGATGTTTTGAAGTTAGAAAAGGTCTAAGTAGCTCTTCGAACAGCCTCTGTTTGGAGAAACGGGTGAGCTTTTCCATAGACTAAAAACGTGTTTTTAATCCTAAATCAGCTGATTTTTTCGGACGAGTTTTCTGTGAAGCTCGTCAGAAAGAGCCTGAATCCGCAGAGTTCATTCTGTTCCTGAAGTTTTCTATTTTAGGGAAATTCCTTTTTGACCCAAGGCGAGATTTTCATGGTACTTCCAGTGGATTCAGAATAGTTCCCTAACTCATTTTCCCAACCAGATCCATTTCTGCCACAGAAACCACAGAACTCTATGCAAATGACCGGGTAACGTGGAATTTAAGGTGGTATGTAAAAGAGAACTGCTTTGAACTTTTTGAGTAAGGAGTTGTTTTTTACGGTGGAGGAACGTTTTGGCTCCGGCTCCACTCAGACTAGCCGTTAGCTCTTCTACCTGGTCTGAACTAAACTGTTTTGTTTTCCACGTTTATTTGTCTCAATTGTTTTACAGAAACACAGTAAAAGATGAGGATTATCTATCTGCTCCTGTAGTTCCCCTCCCAAACCGCAGGTGTCGCTACAGAGAACAAGCTGCAGGGTTTAATCAGCAGTAGTGCTTTTATCGATACATGGGACACGTTTTTACCCCTCAGCCCTGATCTGTGATGCTCAGAAATTACCCAAACCTCAGATTAATAAAGCCTGATTTACACAGAGTACGGAACAGATGCAGATCGGAACCTGTGCACCTTCCAGACGGACTTCCATTTACATCGGCTGCATTGCGTCTCCAGGCTGTTGCTCACGAGGTCGCGTAAGCTCACTCGATAACGCACAGGTAGACAGCTGGTACTCACAAGCCACACCCATCCTCTCGTCATTAATAGCAGAAGAAGCTAAATGATGCAACACGGATGCACCTCGCTGGCCCACGTCTCATTTCCTAACAATCCACATGCGGAATCTGGAAAAAGTAGAAACCGTGCAGAAAGATTCTGCAGCTCCGCATCCGGTATGTTTCGCACCACAGCCGGCGTAAACGCTCCGATTAGACTCCAGGATTTTTGTTCGCTACACTGGTTCCCATCTTTGGTTCGGTGTGAATGCGGCTTTCCGGTTGGTGATCCCGCCAATGACACCACGCTGAGAAGTGAATCTGCTGGAGGACAACTTTGTGGCTCTTTGATCTTTTAACATCAAAGAGGAATTTTCTTCCCTGTGTTTTTTTTACCTTTATATGAAACCAGGTGTTAAATGATTCATCTGAAGAAAGTTTTCTTCATCATCTGTGACTGAAGCTTCTGAGAGACTTTGAAGTGTGTGTGTGTGTGTGTGTGTGTGTTTTAATCTGTGAAAGTACATCTTTTTAAAAATCTCTAAATATTTAAGTAATTTTAACACCAGCGATGTTCCTCGTGCATTGATCAGATGCTTTCTGACCCTCTGCTGCAGACTTTTGGGGTCGTTGTTGATAAACTCACCAGTGAGCTGAGGGGGAGAGGTCTGCTGCATCCTCTGTTTCGGTTTCACCTCCACATGAAAAGATGTGGGTTTATTAAATCTGGACGAGAAAATAACAAAAGTTCTCATCGTTTAGTGAAACATCACCTCAAAATAATCTCTAATAATTCCGATGAATTCATTCACAAAAGGAAAACCGGATTCTTTAGTTTCGTGTGAGGAACTTCACACCGTCCACAGTTGGCTCTGGTCTTATCTTGAAGACAGAGTTATGTTGTTTTTATTGGTGATCACAAATCAAAGCTCATCACCATGACATGTGGGGTCCCCCGAGGCTCAGTCTTTGGACCACTGCTCTTCAGTCTCTACATGCCCCCCCCGGGTCAGGTCATACACAATAACATTATCTATCATAGTTATGCAGATGATACCCAGATCTATCTAGCTCTGTCACCCAGTGACCAGTCCTCTAGACTCACTCTGTCAGTGTTTGGACCCAGTTAACGACTGGATGCAGTCAAACTTCCTCCAGTTAAACGAAGAGTAGACTGCAGTTATTGTCTTTGGAAGTCAGAAGGACGGGATGGAGGTTACTGCTCGGCTCGGCTCGGCTCCAGAGGAATAAAGACAAAGACCCAGGTTGGAAATCTTGGTGTCCTAACCGATTCAGACCTGAGCTTCACTGGTTACATTAAGGCTATAACTAGATCAGCGTTTTATCATCTGCATCAAAGAGCACGACTCAGAGGTCTCATGTCCAGACAAGACCCAGAGAAGCTCATTCATGTGTTCATCTCCAGCAGGCTGTACGGTAACACTTTAGTTTAGGGAACACAAACTAACCATTAATTAGCTGCCAGTTAATATGCGTATTAGTGGACTACTAAGTCTGAACTAGTCATTATTAAGCACTTATTAAGAGCTTAATTCTAACATTAACCGGCCATAAATTAAGAGTTTTATCAAAATAAGCAATTCATAATGGTTTGTTGGTTAACGCACACACTAAGTAGCTCAAATCAATATGTGTCTTATAAAGAAGTAATTCAAGGGGAACATATTCTTGCCTTTAAGTGGTTAATTAACACTTAACTACTAGTAATTAGGTATGAACAAAATCTGACTTTAGAATGGGGAACATGTTCTTGCTTACGAGTGGTTAACTGACAGTTGTTTAGGCTCTATTAACATGTGGAGTTTAGTGTTTATTTACATAATACCAGAACATAATGATTTTGGTTATTAACTATTCCCCTTGAATTACTTCTTTAAAAGCCTCATATTGATTAGAGCTAATAAGCATGTGTGTTAATCAGCAACAAACCTTTACTTTCAGTTAACAAACCATTATGAATGGCTTATTTTGATAAAACTCTTCATTTATGGCCTGTTAATGTTAGAATTACAGCATTAGTAATAAGCTCTTAATAAGTGCTTAATAATGACTAGTTCAGACTTAGTAGTCCATTAATATGCATATTAACTGGCAGCTAATTAATGGTTAATTTGTGCTCCTTAAAGTGTTACGGCTGTACCATTGCAGTGATCTTTTGACGGGTCTAAAAAAAGCTGTGAAGCAACTGCAGCTTATTCAGAACGCTGCTGCTAGAGTCTTAACAAGAACCCGGAGAACCGAACACATCACTCCTGTTCTCAAATCTCTACTGGTTACCAGTAAACCACAGAATCTATTTCAAAGTGCTTCTACTAGTTCATAAATCACTCAGTGGCATTGGGCCAAAGTAGGATCTCCTTCAGGTATCTACGCCCAGCAGGGTTCTGAGATCCTGAGGAAACAGCCAGCTGGTAGAACCGGGTCAGAACCA